TAAATATGCTGGATCCGTTACTACACATGAATTTAAGTGGTTGTAGCCCTGCTCCATCTTGCATGTCCAAACGAACGGTTCGTCTTGGTAGAGCGGCTTAAGAAACGGGCTGATCTCCAGCAAAATTATGCGTGAATCTTGAATCATATGCCAGCACTCCGAAGAATGAACGGAGGTGAAGTTTGGATTTTGGAACTGGGTAATTCCTGATGGTCTCACGTTTTCAGCAAATGATTGCACTTGAAAATCCTTCACCATATGACCTAAGCGCGCAATTGACTATTTGACTAGTTGCGACGTTTTGCGACTTAGCTTTAAATGGCTTTTTTCTAATCTTTTAACACAGCTATAAGTGTGTCAACATGCTATTGTTTCGTCTCCGAGAAAATCTGGGTATCGTCCCCATAGGTATCGTCAGAAGCAGACGCCTGAATGTAGCAAGAACATTTCACAATTTATCCGGCATCCTCAATAATTTACAATGCCACTCGGTTCCTCAAAATGTTTATTAAGGCGGTCTTCTGAACCTGAAAGCTACAAGTATCCCGAGCGGAGATCCATCAACTAAATCCGTATTGCCTTATGAATACCAGAAATCATTTCCCCATCTGTGGCATCGAAATTACCTCCTCCATTGTCACTCAGTGTAACTCTTTGAAATCAATACAGTATCGAAGGGTCCTTTCTGTTATTTTCGTCAGTAAGCCGTGGTAAATACGCGCTGCTTTCTCTCCTAAAGTTCTTTATGTTTACGTTTGTGCCAACGGTTTCTGTAATTCCGGCAAGGTATTTTATGGTATTCTTCTGTAAACTGGCTTGCACTGCCCCCAGTAGATTAAGTGTATTTAGTGTTCCGCCCATTCGCAGAAACGGTAATCTTGATTCTCATCGGTGAAAAAGTATGCATAACTCCGTAGGCCATCCCCTGTCGTACGACATGGGCAATCAAGCAAAAACTCACGAGACCCATTCGGTTAGATTGTCCTTGCTCATCTCAGTTGTTCCGACACCCACAATTAATGCGTTAATACCCAACTCGATTTGGCGCTTTGCTGATGAAAGATGTAATCGCTGATTATTGTCTCTGTGGACCCCACCACAGGAATATTGAATGTTTGATAAGTGCTGCTCTATTCCTAACTTTCAGTCGCTGTGCTTCCGTCACCTTCAAGTCATATTCTTTGACTGAGTAAACATAACACAATCGAACAACCCGTATCCACTAATGCACTCGTTGACACTCCTTCTCAGTTATCTCGAGAACCGGCACTCTTCACCTTCTCTGCATGGGCAAGGAAAACCATGAGAGAAATTTCTGTTCTGACGAAACCGGGCAAATCGCCTTACGTGGTTGCATTGAAACTGACAATCACCCCGACTTTCTCGTTCGTTGTGTTTTGTAACGCTCTACCATTTTCTCTCGAGGTTAGTCTTGCTTCCACCAGTGCCAGCTCGGTTAGATTTCGTTCTAGCACAGAAGGTTGCATCCTATGTATCGTCAAAAACATCCACAAATTGGGTCTACGACACGAGGTGCTCTACCCAGTTGAGTCCATCTATTGATGCCGCCTTTACGCTACCCTGGATTCCGCTGGGTAGATATGGGATAAATTACCCTCCAAACAATCGTTCTCTTGTAGCGAAATCCACCTCCGGGAGTCCAATCACCAGGTGTCTGCTCAGCTACGGAATAAAGATATCATCTGGATTTCTGCTCTTTCTATTTTGTAGATTGAATCTGCTCAAACGGGTGCTGTCGATCGATTTCCTTTCCCAATTCTGCACACAATGCATCCTTCATCTCAGTGAATACATTACCGCCTTTGATCTACTGAGTAAAAACCTACATCGTCTTCGCTCTCCTGGTCAAAAGAGTACTCAAGGCTCCATCTTTTATTCCATTGCAACTTCATCGAGCTAAGCTTCCACATCTCAATCAGCAAACTACCTTGTCCAGGTCAACTTCATCATGAATCGCCACGGCATCAGTGTAGAAATAATAAGCGACAAGTAAGCACAAACTTTAGTACACGCGACCATAAGCCAACAAACTGTACCCACGTGCGCATATATCCGTCATGTCTCCGTACCACAACGCAACATAGATGGATAAGCCCAAAAGGTCACATTTTTGGGTCGTTCGTCCGCAAATTTGGGGACTAGGCTGCCTGTCTGATCCCGTCTCATTTCTTTCACATTTCGCATTCTGATCTGTTTGAAGTTGTTGTAAGTTTACTGATTTGCTTTATTTCGGTTGCGTTATTCGGTTTAAGGTCACTGCAAAATGCCCCGACAAAGCGTTTCGCTCTGATCCATGGGCTATTCGACAGCTCATTTTACTGTTCTCCTTGACTCAGGCCCATTCCCGTAGGTTGGTCGCTATCAGCTATCTGCTCTTATTGTGGGATTAACGCTGCGCCGTCTAATGTCGTCCATGACATTTACGCCCCTTTCGGTCCCTTCTCTTTTTAGTGATTTTTAAGTCTTCCGTGTGATCGGTAACTTCTGTGTTTACCAATTCACATGTACTTGCGGTAACATGTCAGCTCCATCGCACAGCATCTGCACGATTGTACCCTGTGCGAAAACCCAGCTGACGCATTCAAGGTTATCAGCAGACAAAACAACGCGAGTTGGTTTCGTTTTGCTGAAGCCTCGGTCATCTGACGAATGAAACCAAATCTTTGCAGACCAAATCTTTGTAGACCTATTAGCCAGTCTTGCCTTGCCATGGTAACACTCAGGCAATGACCTAGAGTTTTTCAGTGTTTTCTTGATTTTTCTTTTGACCCCTTTTTCAATGCCATTCCTTTACACTTTCCACGACTTGTCTGTAAGCGGCTGAATGAGAAGACACGAAATAATCTGAATTAAGATCATCCCGTATAAATGCCGTCCGTTCTTGCTCTCTTGAAACATATTGCTCCTGCAGTGTTAAGCCTCCGCTTTTGTGAATAAACTTATTCATTATTACTATTGTTTCTTGACCAGTGCCATACGCGCTGGTTGCTTTCTATACACATTAATGGGCATTGCGTTTGTTGGAACTAGCAATACGCAGACAAACCAAATTGCTAGCGCGATCAATAAAACATGGTGTGACACTACGTCGCAGGCAAAGCAATCGGTGTAATTGAAGAATAGTTGCTGTTAACAGCCTTCTACCTTTCGGGGTCATGAATACCATTGCTGCTTCGCAGAGTTTAGTAACTAATGGAATGTAAAATCCGTTTCATTTAGACGCAAATCCACTGTGAGTTCGATAGCTAAACCTGCAACATACCGGGCACTGGGGATTGCATGCGCTCAGCTCTGACATATCCACAACGACTACTAGTCAAGGAGGATGCAGAATATGAGGGACAACATACAAATTAGTAAGGTGTTCAAAAAGATGTTAAATGGTGTCTTCATATAAAAGCGAGTATGCGTGCAGCCGCAGCAATGCTATACCCTGCACGTCAGCAAAGTCTAGGCTCATTAACATGAATAGCATAACCAAGATAGCATGTAATTGAGTTCTCCAGTTGAATTCTGCCAGTGAGTAATGCCGTATGGGTTGCTGCTAGGGCTTGCGCTTACTGCATTAAATTCAATCATTAAATAATCTGCTGACTTTCCGCATCTCCCCACCTATGTTGCCGGAGTTAGATAAAACAAATTTTATGAATTATTCCATCACCTGCAATGAATGCATTTACCTAAATTTTGGGGTACGGCACAGTGTAAGCAAATAGTGCGCGTTTGCTAAACCTTCACTGACTGCATTTACACGCGCTACCTTTTCATTTAGATAGACGTCCGCTGCTCTCCCACTTTACTTATGGAATTTTTCACGTGTGATTTCGCCACATTACGCACAACACTGCTAATTAGAATTTAGATTGGTGCTGTTTCTTTGTCTCACATGTCCACTCAAGTTACGGGCAATAGAATAATGCATGTGTCTGCTTCGGAATAACCACTTTGCGTGCGGCTATCACGCTACATCTATCAAGCGATTGCATTTGCCGTTATGTGCTCTCTGTGTCCACACATTATTCTACTGTACTACGCTAATTATGCTTCCATAGTTACGACGTTAGGCCGTTGTTTTAATACTTTTAATAAATTAACCGTTCCATGATTCCACTGAGATATTGTTTCACTGTCAGATATAAATGGCCTTTCAGTTGAAGCAACTAGAGCTTGAAGTAGGCCGAAACTCGAAAACGTGTTCAATGACTATCCATTCACGAAGATCGTGAAACGGATAAACTGAAATTAACACTTTCATTCCATGTTATCACCGCATTTCCGAAGCTTTGCGTCTCATTTCACCATCACTGTTCCCAGAACAAGCTCCTGCAAAATTAGGACCGGCATTACAGCAGTTGCTCAGAAGTTCGAATTTGGCAGGTTGGCGGTTCTATCAATCACCGTCAAACAGAGGAGACGAAGATATAACAGGTTTACTAGTGTGCACTACCTGACTAGATATGAGTAACTTATACAAGTTGGAATGCGTCATCTCCCTCACTATTGGCACAAAATAATGGATTGACCGTTGCCATCCAAACAAATTTTGGGTACGCAAGAATGCAGCTCATTATTCATGGCAACTTTGCTAAGCTCTTATCACCCATATCAAGTGCTCAGTTGCAAAAGCGTCATCTGTCAATCGAGGCGTCCCTATTGTTAGCCGCACCGTAGTCCCTGCATTAGGAATACATTCTATTGATCCGAATTACCAAGAACCACCTCAAAGTAAACGAAAGTCCAAACATCAAAACACAGCTCCTTTTCCACTGGATAAACCGTTGAAAATATCAGACATCACATGTTGGATCATAATTCATTCTTACCTAAATATTAAGTAGTCTGGCATGTATGGAAGAATCAGGATTGAAAACCTCAACTTGGGTATCAGCGTATTGAACTGCGCCCTACTAAGGACTAAACAGAACTTTAAAAACCGCTTAGGAATTACTGTTACACAGAAAATCTGGAATTGTACTTACACATAATATAAAGCACATCCTTTGGTGTAACAGATAGTGAAAAGCTGTCTTCGGCCGACATTTCCTCAGTCAAATGAGTGCTGAGAGATTCGAACACCCAAAGTAAGCCAAGCCACATCAACAAATCAGCCGATGTGAAATTGGTTGGCGTGCAGAATGTATCATGGTATGCGGTGCGATTCATTCATGTGCAATGCATCGCAAACGCACAAATCGCTTGTGTTTTCACGTACGGGTGCACTGAACCAATGGCACCACCTGCCTGTCCAATAAGCTATCGCGGAATATGCGTGGGGGCCACTCTCGTTGTGCTTTCATTGGGCTCCGGGTTGAGCCCGATCAATCTATTATTCAGCGGCTTTGCATGCGGCCCAGTATGCATCCTGTTAGTGAACACAAGTCTGCTTTACATTCCTTTGGCATGTGGGGTCTTTGAGATATAGGTGGAAAACTTATAAACTTCTGCTCAACTTGCTACAATGCCTATGTCGTGACTGTTAATTCCCTCGTCACTGAGATGGGTGAAGATTCCTTTGGATTATGGAAATTATGCGTAACTTACTTAGCTGCAAGGCTTAATGGAATGTCGAAAATTGAAAGAAGTGCATGAAGTTTGTGATTCCGGTTCTCCTCTTATTGACATTGTGATCACCATTACAGAGAATCGATTCATTCTGAAGCTTTTTTTAACATAGTGTAGGTTTGTCGGCTGTGTCCGCAATGTCGTAGTGTCAAGCGTTAACGGTCTGTGGAGCGGGAGAAGAGTATCAAACGGAGGTGAGCCAGGCGAGATGTGACGTACCACACACGCGTGATAACAATGTGATTGTGGAGGCTGGTGTGCTACTTTCCTCGAATGCTTGCAGAAGACGAATCAATGTCGCAAGACTGGTTTAGGAAATAGGTGACATTTCAATCAAAGGCGCTTTTAAGAAATGAAGCATTCACTCCTCTAAAGTATAAGATGGCCATAAGCTGTCCCTACTGCATGATGCCGCATAAGGGGAAAGCTACCTAGAAAATCGGTGCCTCTTTTTATCCTTCCATTCCGTGTGCTCAACTACAGAAAACTCAACGTGTCACCCATTGCTCAACCAATCGAAGCATTGAAAGTACAGAATGCGTTGAGCCACTATCTAGACGCATCAAATGAAAGGTCAGGTTTCGTGTTACTGAGCTAGATAGTGTGTACGAATCTTGCTTGGAATGATCTGTAAGTAATGAACGAGGAGATGGCGATTTTTCTCAGTTCTATATGCACGGTTCAACTGGTAGGAAACTGTCGGATTTCGGAAGTGCATTGCAAAACTATTGGTTACCTTTCGAGGAAATCAACTTATCTGATGCCAGTTATCATCCCAGTAGCAAAAAGAAAGTAAACATGTTAGCCACCAGTTTGTTGAATAAACTAGCTAATATAAGAAGAGCTACAAGCAACTTGTAGGTAGATATCTATTATCGTGTGTTTGGAGTTCCCATCGACGTCCGCTTGCCTTTACAAAGAAATTAATGAAGGTCCGCTTTTTTAACAGGTTGGCGTGGCTTTCAAATTCGGCCGTGATTTATGCTTCCTGTCCACCGCATTTATCAACACTAACATTCACTATTTTATTAACACCTTGTTTTAAATCGTCAGACCAATCTGTACGTATAAAGAATAATTGCCGATAAACAGAATCAATGAAAATCCTGGGTTTAGTCGTCAGAAATGTCACACTGCTCGTGATGCAGAGGAAGTAGACTGCAACTTCTGTTGTCATGTAAATGATTTAGCATTTCACTTACCATCTTTACAGTCGTAACTCCACTTACCTTCTTCACCACCCATAGATTGCGTAACAGTTTAAAAGGAATTATCGGGTATACAGTCGTGAAAAACGCCCGGTCCGGACGGACTACTACCTACAGTCTTTAATGAATATGCCAAGGTCTTAGCACAGCCATTTGCTGAACTGTGCACCATGTGCCTACATCAACTCAAAATAGCCGACTGACAACGAAGCGCTTGCATTACACTTGTGATAAAAAGGGAACTTGTTATTACCGGCCCATTGCTTTACGCCCGTGGCTTTGAAGACATTTAAGCAAATCATACTGAAAAGGACGCCTTCCAAATCCACTCAGCTGCTACACTTCATTTCACCCATCGGGTTTCAAGGTTCAAATTGAATTCATTTGACTGTCTTGTACAATCCGTGCTTTCATCACTCGACTGACTAAACAAATACATCTGGACCTGCTTCTTAGATTACAGCAATGTTTTCGGCTATTTAAGCAGAGGGCTGATGTTACACGATCTGCTAGTTTCAGGAGTTCCACCAACATTAGCACTTTTTATTACTGACTACTTTGCCAATGGTGCGCAATTTCCCAACATGGAGGAATAAGTTCTTCCTCACAGCACAAATTTCGGTGTCTTTCAGAGAACCATATTGTCCCCATTCCTATTTCCTACCTACATAAACTCCATCCCCACTCCAAAGGAAACCATCTCGTTGAAGAATGTTGATGCCCTAATGCATGGTGTAAAAAACCATGCAGTTAATTCATTGACCAAGTTGTAATGCTTCTTGGACAGTCTCACATCCTAGTCCAAATCGCGCAGTCTTTTACTAACCGTACCAAGGTGTAAAGATCTTATTTGCTTTCCTGTCCAAGGAAACCTTTTACCAATAGCTCCTGAAGCGCACTTTGCATCTGAGGATCGACAGTCAGTTTACACACCTGTATATCACGGAAATATCTCGGAGTTACACTAAATCGGGATCTCATGTGCTTATATCACGTGAAAGAAATATTCACTACACAGGATACTAACATTCTATGTCTCCCGACTTAGGTCTTCATCCGTGCGTCGCTGCTCGGTTTAGCAACGCTTACGTAACAGCACTCTGCGCGCAATGCTCATTTGTACAATTTACTGAAGTCTTAAGTGGGCATATCAGAGTGTTTACCAGGTCGCTGAAGCATGTTGCTCGATGCAGCGAAATTTCCATGCCAGTGTTTATTGATCTAATTTTGTCCAATCATGTTCGTTCCAACAAAACGTGGGCATCCAAGATAATCGCTGACGCCAGTCACTCAATTAGTAGGGCATTGCCCGAATGTATCTCGTTGTCTTCAACCAGACAACTCTGAAAAGCTATTTATAGCCGCGCACGGGCTTACCGTAATCCAGCAGTGCCCAATTTGTCATTTCTTCTGTGCGATCAAGATGTAGTCAACAAGTCCGCATTGCGAGACTAAATCGATGCTAGCATTGCTGCCACCTTTTCGAATCGGTGGAACAGTATATGCATTTGTCAGAAGTTTAGTTGGTGTTATTTGTGTCCTGGACGTTTTCGTAATAGCTGAATATTCACTCTTCATCGGTGCACAAAGCACAAACTTGACTTGTTTTTTCAACAGTGCGCAGGCACACTAACGTGGAATATTCTGATCAGTGTACTTTTCGAACAGCATGCGTCATTGATTTGCTTGGAAGACGGCCTGAGTGACATTTGGCAAGTACTAGAAAGATAAGTTAAATGCATCATAATAATATATGTAGGTTTAAGCGGGAGAAATCGCATTAATACGGTCACCGATAGAACCGCCACCAGTGCATTGATTCTTTGCAAAAATTTTCCCTGAATATTTGGACTCGCGCATCAATACATCACCTGAATGAATGCCAGTGTGACAAACTAGCAATAAACTGTCACTTGTGTAGCCAGTTTAAATACTATAAGTTACACACACAGAATAAACACTGAAGTCTCCAGTACGTTTCCTCAGAGGACTGTTTCGAGCCCAGCAGTTATTTGCTACATGCTTTTGAGTCAGTGGAAATGCGTCTTTCATTGATGTCATCTTTAACTTCAATTCTTCAATCCGTCACCTCAGGAGATAAGCCCAATTGGAACCAGAAGAAAAGCAAGAAGAAATACAAATTAGAAAATATCTAAATGGTAAAAATAAGTGCAGTAGTGCTAAGTTATAATCACATGTTCATACCGTCAATTCGGTAGTGGATTCAAGCAAAAGGTAAGACTTCCATGTTAATTCTAAAAGCTTGGCCGGCAATCCGCTGCGGTGGATTTTGTACAAAGCGTAAGGGCAACAAAGTTCATTCTGACCTTGACAATGCCCAAATGTGGGTACAACAGTTCCGTTCTCCAATTGAAAACGGACGTCTATAAAAGCCCAAATGCCAACCATAGTTAACTGAAGTGCAAAAAATTACAAGACCGACCGTCCGATGCGATCTAAGTAAAATCATCACTAGTCCAATCAATCAACCCGTAAAAATATCAGCTTATATTAGCCTGGCGCAGCTAAAACTAGGGATTGGTTAAAGATATGTGTCAATCGTCATTGGAATCCAACAGACTGACATTTGTCCGTGATACATGGCATGCTTCACATCAGTGCATGAGGGATTGACTTCCCGTATGACCAAATTTTACGGCAGCATACCTGAAGAAAAACAGCCGCTCGTATTATCCATATCCTGGCAAGTACCTAAGCGAATTTACAATCACAATTTTTTACGTGCAATCAAACAGTAGAGTTCAATATCTCCAAACACATACATGCATGACACTTCTTAGCTAATTCTATCGAAAATGCTTAAATTGTTACTTTTAAAGGAAAAAACCTAAATAGCAAAATCCTAGACATGTTAGTGTTTGCAATCATTGTCATACGTGCTACTTGTTAACATACACCACATAATTCGGAACTAAAATTCGACAATACTCTCTTTATTCCTATGCTAGCGTAGCTATTGGCGCTTTATTCCAAATGTATAAGTATTACAACTGGTTTTGTGGTCATTGACAGATGTGTAGTGATTTTAAACAGTGTACCAGATGATATTTCTTATTTTACCTTAGTCCCGATTTTGAATAAGTTTATTACCTAGTAACGAATTCAAGCAAAACGTTCCCCAGACCGCAATTAGACACAACAGGACAGAGTACGAAGCACTGTATCCGACCAAAACTGCGTACGTGTGTCACATTGCACACGATTTAAAGCATGACGTGTGGAACCATTGATTGGTCAATGCGACGCAATCCAACAAGGCGCGGTGTGGCAGGGCTAACTAATCAATGTCATCGAAGGATTTAACATCCCTCCTCTCTTGGAGAAAGTCGTCCTCCGGAAATGAAAGGTTGAATTGGTTTAAGTACTGGTTCA